ATATGTAAGTTAAACATCTTTGCAATAAATATCAGAAAATTTTAGGAAATTAAAGAAATTACACAATAGAATAAAACAATAACTTTGATAAACTAAAATTTTATATTCTTCATGGTCCAATAGAAAGTATCAAATTTGATGTTTATTTTTGAATAGAGGTGCTTTAGTTTTTTGAAATATGTGAGAAAAAATCTTAAATAAATGATTATTGATTTTCCTGAAACTCATTGTAAATTATCTAATGAAATGCAGTTAAAGCTCTACTCCTGTACTCGTTATCTTAGAAATAGAGTAGAAATTTCAGTTACTTAAAAATGATTTCTATCCACACCTACTATAACAGTGTTCTTTCTTATTTAAGTACTTAGGTGAAATTTTCAAGGCCATTCTATGGAAATGGTTTGAAAAGCTTTGAAAGTAAAATAGGTATCTCTGCACTCCTCCAAACATACAAACACGCAAATACACTTCTAACTTCTTTGCTTATCCTCAATGCTTCTAGTGAATAGATAAGATGATAAATCAATGATAATTGAATAAATATATGATATTTAAAGAGAGTGATCACTTAGGCAAATGATTTTGTTTTTTTCCTCTTCTTTATGCAATAGCCATTCCCAGAGAGAATAGTATATAGCTGTCACAATATAAAAAATGCAAAGATTTAAATGAGTTATTGCCCAAAAGAAGCTCACCATTTACTTATACTTCTATCTTGGGGAAAAAAAAAAAACACAAAATGACCATTCCTTCCAAAGACCTGTTAGTTCAACACTTGCTTAAATAAAAGAACCCCCACCTACTTTACAATAACATTTATAACAAAATTACACATTTCAACAATATAGAAGACATTTGTGGGTGTATAATTGTAATATTATTTGAGCAAGTCTCCTACAATCTGGGAAGAAATCATGGAAAGATGTTTTGTTGTGGTCAGCCATGAATTCATTGCATCTGTGGTAACCTGGGCTACTCAATTACATAGTAGGTAAATGTAGAGATTGAATTGATGAGAAAGAGCTCTTTTTGTAGCTAAATAATTCAAATTAGATGCCTTTGACCAAATATCTGCTTTATTTTATTTGAAAAACACAAGATGGTAAAAATTTGGGAAATGTAACTCATAATAAAGTGGTTCTCAACTTGGTGTGATTCCCCTTCCCAATTCACAAGACACTAAGCAATGTCTGGAGAAATTCTGGGTATCACAACAATTGGCATCTACTAGATAGAGGCCAGGGATGCTGATAAACATTTTCCAATGCACACAGAAGTCTCAATGCTTTACACAAAAAAATAATTACCTGCACCAAAATGTCAAAAGGGTCTAGACTGAGAAATATTTCTGTAGTGGAAGATTCCCTGTCCCTAAACAAATTTCATCAGCTTTGTATTTCTCACATTGACGTAAATTCATCAGCATGGGTCAGTTTTAGTTGGCAAGGTACTCCAAGCTAAAGGCAGCTTAATTCAAATAGAGAATTAATTATGGACCAAGTTAGAGAGCTATTATTCATAGGTACAGTTTCAAAGGGCTTTCTGACTGTCTGCTTTAGGAAATACAAAGCGATCTCATTAGCTCCTTCCATTAGGTCCTGGGACCTGTCTTGGCTAAAACTTCTCATGCCCACACAGTAATGGGTAACAGCAGGAAAGATAAGGCTAGCTTTACTCATTCACTACCAATAAACAAATATAAACTTATATTCTATTTTTTTCCATTCTAACAATCGCAATTACACTGTTGAATAAAAATCGAGTTTATTAAACTAAGCAAGCTTAAGAAGTTTCCTTATAACATTACTCTTTCCAACATCCTTAGAGATTCAAAATACAGGTCACAGGGCATGAAAGGCAGGGGTGGAATCAATCTAGATAATGGAATAATCCGCTATCACAACCAGGCTCCACCTTTCTCCTTCCAAACGAACTCCCTACTGATTATTACATTTCCTGAAATACTAGAAGTTAACCTTTTAACACGAAAAAAAGAAAGGTACATCATTATAAAAAAGTAATAATTAACTTCAATGTCATTTCCTTAAAATTCTATCAGTATCCCATTACACCCACTCCAATATTCACCTCTAAAACGTTCTAAACAGTGTTATTACTAATTCTTCTACTTCAAAAAATTCCACTTAGAAACTATTTGCTATATACCCTGTTTTCTTTTTCTTTTTTCCTCATTCTGTTGTTTGGTTTTGTTCTGATTTTCCCTGAAAAGGAGCTAAGACACCCAGAATTTAAGTCTCTGTTTGGAAGAATTTTAGGACCTCAAAAGCAAATATTAGAAACGACGTAAAAGCCTGTCAGATTATTTTGCCCTTAGAAACGTTTAGGGAATAGGAAATCATAAGAGCTTTTAAATTCATCTTCTCTAGTCAGAAGACTGGCAGTAGTACAAAGGTCAGGAGAGGCTACCTGACCTGAGATTTTTGAACTTGCTGTAAATAATGATGACCTATCTGTAAATAACTTCCCCAATAATCCAGACATCTATACACTAAGTCCAGTCACTGCTTTCTTTAGATGGGTCCTCTAAGAGCTAAGTGTGATCTGTGAATGATAGTTGAGATAAAAACTAGAAATAAGGAAAAGAAACTCTTTGTCTTTAAAAGAAGTGGCTCCAGTTTCCGTTTACAAGCCTGAAGGGTTGTTGTACATATTAAAACTGCTGCATAGCTCCATCCCTGGTCAAAGAAATCCCTCCTCCTACCACCTCTACCCCACCCCCGTGGACACTGAAGATGTCAGATCTCTGGGAAACAGCAGTTAGAAAAGGATGCTTTTCATAGCTTGTACTAGAAAACGCTGGCACCCCCATCCCTGCTTAAAATAGCACTAAACTGAATCACAATGCAGGAACTTATGCCTCCTGTATCTATTCAATAAAATCTAGCTCGTTTCTAGTGAAATGATAAATAATACAGCATAGTTTTGCCCATGTATGTGACATGTCAATTCTTCTAATCCCCCGTTTGCTCTACATAATTTTATGCTTTATCCATCAGCGTGCCACGCAAGATAGAAAAGTGCAGTTAACACGATGACAGTGTTAGCTAGGTATCTGGCATCGATGTTACTGAGAGTCTGTCATTTGACAATTATTTCCCTAGCATACCAGACGGTAAAGAAAATGTTTTCATTCATCCGCAAATGACTAACATTTTATTGATATTTCAAAATGCGGTTGAAACTATTGCACTCTCATTTTCCGAGTCGGTTTTGAGTTAAGGCTGAATACTAACATCAGTAACTCCTGCCGCAAATGTCTCCGTTAACTGCCCAGCCTTGGAGTGTCAGTTCAGCAGGGCGGTGTTGCTAGTTAAGATTCTTCGATAAGCCAGTCTGGGTGGTCACAGGTGATGGGAACCCTTCCCTTTCCCCATATCTCCCCGTGCATGGCGATAAAAATCGCTCTGAACGCTGCTACCACCAAGCAAAACGACTCCCTGCCTGCCTCGTAAAGAGCTCAGTCAGGGGAGGCAGCCGGATGCTGACCCCTGCAGAGAGTATTGCTTCGGTGCGCTTTGCCAAAGGACCCTGCTAGCATTATGGAAAACGAGTTAGATGTGTGAGGTTTTGCTTTATTTCCTCCAAAGGAAGAAGAACTGGGATCTGGCAAAGATAATCTTCAAAGGCTGCTAATGGGGGATGGGGGAAAGGAAGGGGAAAATTGGTGGTGGGGGGCTGGGAGCTTATTTTTTAATTACTTATTTCCCACTTTCACTTCTCCGCTCTGCTTCCCAAACTCCTCACTGAACGAGATTGATTGGTGTAACTGCTAACGACGCAGCCTCGGTTCTCGCATTGATTTGCAAATGGCCCGGAAAAGCTTAGGAATCTTCAGTCCGGAAATCAACTCAAAAAGAAAAGCAGAAAAAAGAGTAGGGGTCGGCCCCTTGCGTAGTATCTCTCCTTCTGCCTTGGGCCAGGGCAGGGCTGGAAACAGGCCGGCGAGCAGCGGAGAGGCTGCGGCGTGGGGAAGTGGGGGTTACTGCTCCGCACCGCCGAGGAGCAAGCCTGTTCCACCCGGTTTGGAGGTTAAGAAATACAACACTGCGACTCCTTAAACACCTTAACTCTGCCCTGCCTCGACTCGGATGCGCCGATCATTCGTCCAGATAGGCTCAAATGGGTTAAACTGCCTCTTACATAACTCGACTGCCTGGCTCTACACAATTAAAACACTTGATTGCAGTCTTTTCCCAACTCTGCTTCCCAGCACGACACGCCCCGTCCCTCCCAGCGCGCATGCGCGCCGCGCGTACACAGGCCCCTGCTGGCCCGCGCGCGTACTACACATTCTCCGTCACATACGCACTCCATGTTGACCATAAACACTCCCCCTCATACACACAACTTAGTGTCAACACGCACAGATAAAAGAGGGGCGTCCTGCATCCCACACTGGCGGACCCCACAGACGACACACAAGCTACTCTACCGCAAAGCCTTGCACCCCTTCGTGTCCACGCAAAAAGCAGCGCCCCGCCACCGTCCCTACCTATTCCCGAGAAAAGGCAAAGAGAGAACTAGTTGGCTGCTCATTAACTGCAGCACAGCCACCCAGGCGAGATTAAAAGAAAAAAATAAAATAAAATAAACAACAACAACTCACAGTCGCCGGCGTCACGATGGCGCCGACCACAACTTGGAGGACTTCAAACTTACGGTGCCTCGTGAGGTAAAACGCACAGGTGAGGGAAGGCAAAGCGCCCCTCAGCTCTCTTCACCCCAGCCCCGACACGGAGACTTTTCTAGCAAAGCATCCCTCTAGCGCTTACGACAGTAAGGAAAGCCTTCATTCTATGGTTCCTCTCTCTTCTCCCTCAGTTTGCATAATTGTCATACAGTTCCTCCTGATATTTTTGTCTTTCTTTTCTTTTTTCTTGCTTTATTTTCTCTTTTCTTTTTAAATCCCCCCCCCCCCTTCATCCCCAATCCCCGGGCGAGGTTGCTAAGGAAACGGCCGCTTGGCAACGCGCGCGAGCCCGGGGGCCGGCGGCCGGCGCAGCACCCCGCGCTGCTTCTGCTGCTGCTGCTGCGATTGCAGCCGCCGCCGCCGCCGCTCGCCCTGCCTCCTCCTCTGCCGCCGCGCCTCCTCCCTCACTAGCCAGCGCGCTCGCCTCCTCGCTAGATGGTGTGCGAGCCGCCCGAGAATTAGACACACTCCGGACGCGGCCAAAAGCAACCGAGAGGAGGTGTAGTGTGGTGCCAGGGGGAGGGAGGGGAGGGAGGGAGGGAAAGCGAAGAGGAGGAGGAGGGGAGACAAAAACACCGAAAAACAAAAAGAGAGAAACAACACCCAACAACTAGGAGGGGGGGAAGAAAGAAAGAAAAGAAACCCACCCACCCACCAGAAAAAAAAAAAAAAAATCCTGTGGCGCGCCGCCTGGTTCCCGGGAAGACTCGCCAGCACCAGGGGGTGGGGGAGTGCGAGCTGAAAGCTGCTGGAGAGTGAGCAGCCCTAGCAGGGATGGACATGATGCTGTTGGTGCAGGGTGCTTGTTGCTCGAACCAGTGGCTGGCGGCGGTGCTCCTCAGCCTGTGCTGCCTGCTACCCTCCTGCCTCCCGGCTGGACAGAGTGTGGACTTCCCCTGGGCCGCCGTGGACAACATGATGGTCAGAAAAGGGGACACGGCGGTGCTTAGGTAGGAAGAACGGCGTGCTTTTCGTACTTGTCTCGGTCTATCTTTCTGTCTCTCTTTCCACCCTCTACCTTCTTTATAACACGAGCAATCATGTTGGTGGTGCTTATCGTGGAAAGACCACATCTCAATCATTCCAGGTGCAGATCCTTCCCGGAGCCCCGGCCCGTTTTTGCTGGGGCAGGTAGCAAGCTGGACTCGTGATGCTAAAGCACTTTACCGGAACGCCAAGTAGCCCAGCGATGAGTGAAGTGTCAGGTTTAGAAGGAGGGGCAGGTGCCACTTTGAAACTCAATGTACAAGGTCTCTGTTTTACTGTCATGGGGTACTCTTGGAGAGTCTGGCAAGTTTATCAGGTTTGTTTCTGTTTTACTCCAGCATAAGCGACTCTTTCAAACTGCTAGCTCTCTGCTCCCATTTATTTTCCCTCTCACTTGGACACTTGGGCTAGATTTCTTGCTATTTAGCTTTCTTTCCTTTTACCGCTTTCTCCTTTCTTTCTTTTCTCCTTCCTCCTTCTTTTATACCATTTTTCCCACCTCCTTGTTACTCCTTTTCCCTCCAATACCTCTTTTCATATCTTTTCCATTTCCTGGGTTTTTCCCTCCTTTTTAAAAATTTCTTCGCATATTTTCTCCTCATTTTTATCTCCACGGCTCTAATTTCTGTTCCTCACAATTAATGCCCTTTCCTCCTCTCTTTTGCTCTTTTCCTTTTTGTCCATTTTTTCATTCCTCCTAATGTTCCTATTCTGTGCCTTGTCTTCCCTCTTTTGACTCCCACTTCTCATCCCTCTTCCCATACCCTTTCCCACCCCTGTGGCACACACAGGAATGGCCACTCTTCCCCCTTCAGTACCATATACTCACCCTCATAAATCTCATTTCCATAAACATACTCCCTCACATACTCTCACATCCTCACACGCACTGGCACTTCCATGCTTTAAGAACCATCCACATTCAGACCCTCTCTCACTGTGTAAAAGGCATACTCTCCTTCTCTGTTCCACATTATCACTTACACATGTGTACACACTGCCTCTGTCACTCGCTCTCACTCTGTCTGTCCTCTCTTTTTCTTTCTGTGTCTTCCTATCCCCTTTCTTCCCACCTTCCTCCCTCCTTCAGTCTTCAGTTTTTCTTCTTTTTCTCACTTTCCCTGTTTCCTTTCTTTCCCCTAAGCTTGAGCTCTGAGGTGGTTTGTCATTAATGAACATCCACACTCTGATTTTACCCCTAAGCAGCACTGCAGAGTGGGAGTCTGGAAATATTTTATTAACTATGAAAATGCAAATTAATGATCAGCAAAGCTTAGATCTAAACAAAGCTAAACGCCCTTATTCCTTCATTTCGTTCTGATCACCCTCCCTTCTCCCCCTACCACCCCACCTCACATTTCCCTGAAAGATCTTCTTTCTCTCCACTGGGTGGTAGTTGGCTTATAAGTGTGGATTGCACATCAGTGCACATGACATGTCTAAGTGAAAGAGAGTGGGAAATGTTTCTGTTTGAATCATGCAACATATTTAAATTTAATGATGTGGGTGTGGTATATGACTTACAGCTTTTGGAACATGCCTATGAGTTCAAATTAGGAATAGTGTCATAATTTTTAATATTCACTAATACATATGTTTTTAATAATCTGTGTTGTGAATATAAAATGTCAGTAAGTATATACAAAAGTAACTAATATCTTTGTTATTACATATTTAAAAAAACTTTTCATTGTTGGTAACAGTGATAAACTCTTTGTCACAGAGAGAATATAAATTAAGGCTGTATTTACTCTTTATGTTAAGTTTGTTCTAGCAGCTTGAACAACAGTGGTAAGGACAAAACACTATCTTCAGAGGTTGCAGACACCTATCATGGGAGCTGCAATATGTATGTTTGTAGCAAGCAACATTGCTTATTTGTAGTGAGCATTATCGTTTCCACCCTAAAGGATTCAGGAGACTGCTTTTCTTTCAACGATATATCCTGGCATTTGGTTTCCCATACAAACAATAATTTAATAAATACTCTGGTTAATTAAAATAGCTGGACCCACATTCTGCTTCCAGGAGACCCATGTTTAGTTCACTCATTGCTTCCAGCAGTGAAGCTTCCCTAACATGTGGGGACCATATATTTCCAGTGTTGTTGGTTTGGTGCAGCCCTTGTTTACTTTGTGTGCTGTGTACCTCATCCATTTAGATTCTATGTCCCACATTTTGTGGTATTTAGGGAGCTTTTGACTTTTAAAGTTATTGAAAAGAACAGAGTCTCTGTGTCTTCTCACTAATGTTTCTAACAAATTAGGTTTTAGTTTTTAATAAACAATTATTTTTTGTCATATGAAATAGAAATTTGATCTGCATTACATTTTACTCAAAACAATTTGCTTATCGTAATTCTGAAATTCTCTAACAAGTATCCAGTTGTTGAACTTCTTACAATGTCTGTACATTTTAAACTAATTTAACATGTATTTATAAGAAATTATCTCTCCATTAGAAAATGTTAAATATTGTCAGTTATTTTTTCTTGACTCTTCTCTACAGCTGGTAATTTCCACTATTCATAGACCAATACAGATAGAGCTTAGGACTATTTCAGTATAGGCAACTCAGGTGATGTATTTTTTTAGTCAAGAGTAATGTCACAGTCATATTTTGTTTTTTTTTTGTTGTATACTTAAAACCATATCTGTTGTTATTCTCTAATTCATTAGAAAACAAAACAAAATTCTACGCTTCAAACGTACACCCCCATCCCATCAATGTACATGAGTGAAGTGCTCAAGAGAACACTTAACTGAATTACATGATATCATTCATCAAGCTTAGCACAATATATTCTATTTTTAATGTAACTTATTCCTCACAGTGTCTCTAATAAAAAACAAATAGTGGCATAAGAGTTATCAAATAACTTTAAGTGCTAAAGGCCTTAAAGTGCAAACATGCCAGTCAGTGACTCTGTTGCTTGTGGTTACTCTAATGAAACAGAAGTTTAAAGGTCAAATGATACATTTCTGTCTCCTAAGTGCCAGAATGTCTGTTTTTGAGAAGAAGATCATGACAAAAAAAACTTTCCTTAAGTGGAGTTATAATACCCAAGGGAAATTCATTCTGATGTCTACTAACTATATCCATCATTTTGTAAATCATCTTTTCCATTTAGCTTAAATACGGGATTTATGATGATATTCCACTTAATAATTTTAATATTTTTATCATTCTATCTTTGTCTTTTAGAGTTAGTGAAGGCATATATATGAAGTATCAAGATGTTCATTACTTTTAATAATGTTACCCAGTGCTAAATTTCTGAATGATTCACTTGAATTATTTGGACCTCCTTGATAAAGTATTTAATGATGCAGATATTCAATATAATTATGTTTGATATTTCCTTTTCTTAATCTTTGAATAAAATACATTGTAATTTGCTATAAACACAAGTTGTTTTCATTAACTTATTGAATATAGACTTCAATTGCTACTGCATTGAATATATACAGTATTTTATTCTTAATGTAACTTGTTAATCTGGTATGGAGACATTAACTTTTTCTCCAGTCTTTAAGTTTAATTTTGTAGTACATGGAAGATCTGAGTTAATGTGTCATGGGGCTGATCTAGCAGAGAACAGGAAGTGCTAGAACTACATTGGCTATGCTTCAGAACCCAGTGTTTCTAGAACTGGAGAATTCAGGAGAATAGTACTCTGCTCTAGAACAATACATAATTTCAGGAGACTTTAAAAAAAAATATTTTGCAGTAACTTTAATATGAATCAGTTGCTTTACTCTTACTTTATTAACAAATACTGTTATACAAACATGTCAAAAATGTTTAATACTCCTTGGAGAAATACTATGAGCATCCTATTTACATTCTCCCAGTGCCTGCACATTTTTAAAATGTGTCACTTTTAGGCTAATTTTTTCAAATCTGTTTCTTATTCAGTCCTTCTGTATGAAGTTTGTAGTTTTTTTAGCCGCCTTTCTGATATGAATTCAAAATATCCTATTATCTGCTTGTCATGCTTTAATTGAAGAAAGGAAGAAAGATTCTTTCCTTAATTGTGATATCTTCTTTTACCTTAGCAGAGTTGAACACAACTCTTGTCATTTTCATGCAATAGATTTGAATGGAAGTTATATGATATCCTACTATGATATTGTAATACGAAAGAAGGCTTTTGCTTATTGCACACTTCTACATTATTGGAAACTGCAAAACTTTTACAAGTAGATTTATGAATGAATATGACAAGTATTTATTAGTGCTTATCCTATTTGTTCACTACATTTTCCTTTTGATTAGACTACATTAACTAGTTGCGATTGTAAATGTATGCTGTTAGTTATAATAAAATAAATAATTTCTGTATGAGAATACAGAATTACCAATAGCAGTAAAAATCAGTTATGCTGTACTTTTGGAATATTATTTGAGGGCCTCACATTTTCTGTTGAGTTATTTCTATACACTGATGCATTATACATTCCAAAAATACTGTTCAGCTTTACAGGTATTTTAAATTATGGACGTTAAGGCACTATTTTAAAACCTATATGTTTATTAAGTGGTATGATAAAATATTTTTTAAATCTTGAGTTTGTTTTAAAGAGGAGGGATAATAGATTATCAGAATAGTCTATCTGAAAAAATATGTTCTAGAATATGGAATAAATGCTCTGTGTTGCCTATGTTGATTTGCAGAACTGTTCTGTTGGCAAGATATATTACCTGATACATTAGTACACAACTATTTAATAAAAGAGCAAGGTAATATTTTTAATTTTCTAGATAAATTTATTTTGCTCAATCTTTTTAGTTCAGAAGAATTCAAAAGCCCATGTAGTTGTACAGATCTTTGAACACAAGCATGTTAATGAACTACTTTTTAAAAATGGATTGGCTTTACAATTAAATCGTGCCATGGAATAAGTTTGTTCTGTAATACCTGACTTCTAAAGAACTTACAGAAATGTTCACCTTATGGTCT